ATACATGAGTATAGTCTTTGCATTATTTCCATCTCTCCCAGTCTCCCTATGTTCCTCCCATCTCCATTTCCTGTCCTCTTCTTTGATTATTATTGTTTTACACACACACACACACACACACACACACACACACACACACACACACACATTACTGAGCTCATTTAGTGGTCCTCCTGGGTATCTGTATTTAGGGCTACCCAGTAGAAATTAGATAACCTCTCAGGGAGCTAGTCCCTGAGGAAAACTGATTCTCCCGGCCTCAGCATCCGTTGTTTGCCAGTTCCTCATCTTGAGGTGGGACCCCTTGAAATCTCCACACGCCACCTTGGTTTGTCAGTTGGTTTTGTAGTCATATGCAGATCTTGTTAGACTGCCACACTGTGGAGATTTCCCTTCATGTCTAGAATGTGTTAAGCAGCAGCAGGTGTCTCATCTCTCTGGCTCTTACATTCCTTCTGTCCTCTCTTCCATGATGTCCCTTGAGCCTTAGATATAGAGGTTGTTATATGTCACTTATCACTGGGCACCTCACAGTCACTTATTCTACGCATTTGACCATACTTTCTCCTTAAAAAACCTACTCTCTCGATAACGAATACACTCCTCAAACAGGGATTGACTGCTAAGTGGGAAGGAATCGAAAGAATTTAAGTCAATTATAAGGAAACAAGCAAGAATCCAAGAAGTAATATAAAAAAATAACAAAGAATCTACAGGCTATAAACCATGTAGTATCTGCGTGTGAGATCAATAACCATCAAACTGGGCTTATGTTAAAAGAAAAAGAGCTGAACTGTATACATAATGTTTGGCCTTCTAATTGTACCCTGACAAAAGAAATACAGCATCCTTGTCAACTTCTGCTTGTACAAAATACAATCTTTGTAACCTGTATGGCAACACCCAGATTTAGGATAAATACCACCAAGAGGAGTTTTTAAAGCATGCCTGACTGTTGGGAAGCCAGCACTTCCTCATCAGCAGCCTTCTGCAATAAAATGTTCAATTCCTTGCTTTGTCTTGTCTCTGAATTCTTTCTCTGACAGTGACAGAACCTGGAATCTGATTTGTGTTTTCAACCTCCCAGCCTTCACCACCAGCAACAAACACTTCCAAAAACCATTAGTCTGTTCAGGAAGGTATCACCCTCAATACTCCATCATCTCTTTGTAGGAGCTACTTCCCAACTGTTACATAGGACTATTCTCCAACAGACAGACCATGGACAGATGCCATCTTCCTAAGCTTGGTTGCACCCAGTTGCTTAGGATCCTCACAGCTGAGTTTGTTGACTGTTACACTCAGCAAGAAAGGAGGGGCAGGGAGAGTCAGCCACACTCCCAAGCAACCAGTGGGCTCGAGGGGGAGGGGCTAAGGGAGGGAGGGTGTCTGGCTGTTTTGTGTGGCTGTGGGGGAAGTCACCATCCATGCCTGGAAGAAGACTTTCCAGTGTGGCCTTAGGAAGGGAACACCCACACTCCTGTGAGTAAACCCTCACTCATCGCTCTGTAAGTAAGCCCAATAAACTCACTGGTTTCCCAGACTGCAGTTTGGCAAAACCAGGCCTCGGTTTGTTTGTCATAGGCGCCAAGGGAGGATGGGGCCTCTTATAAGGAAATTTAGCTACACCAACCCTGTTGCATTGAAGATGAAGATTCTGACCTGTGGTCTTTAGGGAACACAGTCACAGCGCAGCACAGCATGTTCCTTTAGTCACTGTTTCTCCTGATGGATCTTTCTCAGCACTAATGAAGAGAGATGATGTGGGAAGTACAAAGAGAAACTAGAGAGAGATCTTTACTACTTATTAGAAAATCAGAGGAAAGAAGTCACTGGTGGTATGGGAACTGAGAGCAGCTGGGGGAGTACCGGCTCTGATGGAGACTAGCAAAAGGAGAGTTTGCAGCATAGTGGACCAGTCATTTGAACTGCATCCAAGAGACAAGGAGGCTTTGGACAAGTGGGAACGGGGCACTCCGGGAGACCCAGAGGCCAGAAATCATGCATATCTCCACAGTGCTTAGCAATTCAGATAGCTTAGAGCACAGAATGAGTGAGTGAAAGGTCTCAAGGAAGAGAGGGTGTCTGGGAGGAAAATCTGTGGACACAAGTAGCCAGGGAAGATTACATAGGCTTTGTGGTGTGTGTGTGTGTGTGTGTGTGTGTGTGTGTGTGTGTGTGTGTGTAGAATACAGATATTGTATATATAAAAGTTAAGAAGGTGAAAGAATCAAAACAGAGGGCCAGGATCAGATATTGTTCACATAGACAGCAGCCTAGAAAGTAGAGATGAGCATTTTAGAAAGAGTATGTCTTAGTTTCTTTTCTTGCTGCTGTGATAAAATACCCTGAAAAATTCAACTTAAGGGAGAAAGGGTTTATTTTGGTTCCCAGTTCAAGGGCACCATGAGGGTAGGGAAGTCAAGGTGACAGGAGCTTTAAGCAGCTGGTCACGTTACGTCCACAGTCAGGAAGAAGAGAGTAATGAATGTGCTGCATTCTCTTTTTTTAATAATCCAGGACCCCAACCTAGGGAATGATGCCACCCGAAGTGGGTGTGCTTTCCCACTTTAATTAACCTAATAAAGGTACTATCTCACAGGCATGCTCAGAGGCTAACCTAACCTACATAGTCCCTCAGAGGTATGCCTAGAGGCTTGTTGGCTAGTTGATTTAAGACACTGTCAAGTTGACGATTGACATATCACAGAGTGCAGAAGCAGAAGTGTAGGGTTTGGTATAGAAAGAAGCATGAGGAAGTTAGAGGACAGAAGGGACAGCCAATGATGACTTAGGTTCTGGGCCCAGATGATGAGGGCTATGGAGGGGTCACTAACAGAAACAGGAAATAAGACGAAGAGATGGAATGACGTTCTGAACACGTTGGGCTAATGTAGTCTGTTTGCGGAGGGGCTAGAGCTGGAGGTTGGATTTGAGATAGTGTGCGTGGAAACAATTCTTAAATGCAGGAAGTGGAAGGAGAAAACCAGGGGAACAAAGCAAAAGAGGAGAATCAGGGTACTAGGAAGAACAAGGAGCCAACAGAAGAGCAGATGAGAGAGGAAGAGAGGACGCAGGAAAATGCAGACGGTCCCAGAGGGGAGGCTCCATCTAGCAAAACACTGCACAGCCAGGCAAAGGAAGAAGTCAGCACTGGAGGAAGGAAAGCCAGCGAAGTTCTGATAGCGGCCTGGTTGACCCCCTTCTTCAAGACATCTTGTGGGAAAGAGGAAGAGACTAGTAATTAAGAGTTACCCGAAGGTGCTCAGGTTGGGGTTGGGGGGCTTTGGCCCTCGCCCCACTTCTTCCACCATGAACCAGGGAAATCCTGGGGGCTGGCCCCCCTGGATCCCAGCCTCTGGCCCTCAGTGCCCCCAAACCCTTTTGTGCATGAGTTATACCTCTCCTGCTTCCAGAGGGTCAAGACCTTCTTAGATTGAATCAAGTCATCCTTAGTGTCTTGGCATGACCCAGCTTCTCATTGCTGAACGGCAGAGAAAGTCCAAAGGTGGGCTACATGAGGCAAATGTCCCCGAGTACTGTTTTCCTGAAGGCAACTGTTCCAATAAGAAGGCTTTTCTTAAGTTCAAATCAGGACATCATGGAGGGGCCCTGGTATACTCAAAGTAACTTCCCATGGCTGCAGCATCGCTGAAGGAGCTCCTCCCTGTGTATCTGAGGATACTCTCTCTGAGGAGAGTAAGGACCCCACCCTCTATGCCAGTGGTGTCCAGAGAGTCATGGCACAGGCCCAGGGCATTCCAGCCACTGAGTATGAGTTTGTAGGGAGTTGCCTGGGATTGTGGTGGGCCAGCTGAAGGTGAGTCACAGTTTTGGAACCTGAGAAAGGTGCATGAGAAGGCTGGGGTGGACCCTGTCAAGAAGAGTTTTCCAGGCAGCTCCAGCACTCAGATCCTCATCTACTTCCAGCAGCTCTTTGCTGAGGAGCAGGCAGTAGGACCCGGTTACCTGCCGTACAGCAACAGCTTCAGCACCATCTTGCTCCTGCTGCTTGGTTCATCCCACCTCACTGCCACAACTTTGGATGCTGAACTGTGCTATACTGGATGCAGCCAAGGCCTCTCCCTCAGTCAATTCCAGAACTTTTCCCTCGATGGAAAGCTCTTCAGCACCTACCTGCAACCCCCTACGCCAAATCCCCAAAGCACCTCCCAGAAACCAAATACCTCATCCCCAGGCAGTCTCACTGGCCAATGGGACTGTGCAAGCACCCAATAGAAGGGTGGCTGAGGACCCAGCTTCCCCTCCTTCCTTGGCCTGAATCCAGCCTGCTCTAGGACAGTGCCGGGGCCTGCCGCGTGTCTCAACCCCATCTTTGCTCCTGCTTGATTTCTGTTATAATTGTTCGCTTTTTAGGTTTATTTCAATTTTTTTGTTTGGTGGGGTTTTTTTGTAAAAGACTGTTTATATGTAAATATAAATATAGATCTATGAAAAATGAAGCTAAAAGAGTTAGCCAAATGTCTCACCCATCTGGATAACTTTTTTCTTAATTTCTCAATTCTAAAACAAATTCAACACTGGCTACGTTTTGATGATCAACATGACAACATTCCTGTGCTGGATAGCTTTAGTGTCAACTTGACTCACCTGGGTTGAGAGAGCCTCAATTGGAGAATTGCCTCCATTGGACTGGCCTGTGGCAATATCCATGGGGCATCTTCTTGATTGCCGAGTGATGTGGGTGGTGCCACCCCTGGGCAGGTGGGCCTGTGTTGCATAAGAAAGCAGGCTGAGCAGGGGCCAGGGGAGCAAGCCAGTAAGCAGCGTTCCTCCATGGCCGGTGCTCCAGCTCCTGCCTCCAGGTTCCTGCCCCGATGGGCTTCCTGATGAACTGTGACCTTGGAGACGTAAGCTAAATAAACCCTTTCCTCCCTAAGTTGGCATTGGTCAGAGTGCTTTGTCACAGCAATGGAGAAACAAACCAGGACAGTAAGTATCTGAGAGGGAAAGTACGATTCAGACAATTAGGAGCCATCTTTGTTTTTTCTTCTTTCTATTGTTACACATCCACCTCTTTGTCATTGTCACAACATTTTACCAAAATATACAAACAGCACAGATACTTTAAATGTATAGTTAGAACTAATTCAACAGGATTGACTACTGCAAAGAGCATGCATGCACGGGTCGTTTATCTTGCACGATGCCTAAAGAGGGACTTACTTGTCATCAATCATTGGGAACAGCATGATAAGGGATTGATTGGCTTTTATCTTAGAAGAATTACACACCTCATTTTTGTTGTGGTAAGAGGATGTAATGAGTGACTACACTTCTAAGAAAATCAACTGAGAACACATGGGAAGCCAGGTCTGACTGGCAGTAATAACAATCTTGCCTTTGTTGGGGTATATACTTCCTTTCTGTGTGGACAAGCTACCCAGCATAGGTGTGCTAGTTAACTTTACCTATTGGTGACATGAGCTCTGTTCATTTGCTTCTTACTTTACTTTTTCTTGTGAATTTCAGGGCTAGCCAGAGTGAATATATTTGTAAATTTCAAGTTCCAAGCTACCTTCATTGTAGAGAATCCTGTAACCACCTGTTCAGGGCCTCCTTTGTCCCTCCCTCAAACCATTTACATTTCCACAGACACACACAGAACAAAGTGGGTTAGTGGCTCATTCTCTGTGGATGAGGGGCACCCACGTCTGCACCAGGCAATGGTCTGTTCTGGTCTTGAGAAGTTTGTCCCACTTGCTCTTTGATTCATCATCGATGAACAGTTTGTCTCCACAGGAAGAGCCATAATTTAGAGCAGGATTACATTTCAAATCTTTCACAGTGTCGAGAACAATCTTTCAAGTAAATAACTAGGGTTAATTACAATCTAAATTCAAGAGCTGCTGTGAAAGATGCCAGGAGATCAAACAGGGTGACGTCATTAGTGAAGTAGATTTGGTTTCTGCTACAAATGAAAAGTCGTGTGAAGAACTAAAAGGTCTTGGCCTTTGTTGTTGAGTGTTTCTACTTTTTTCTCAACTTGAAAAAGGGATCCAAGAGTGTTGCTTGAACCAGTCCCCAGAAAGAAGGCAAATCCCCTCGGTCCCAGGGAGAGACAAGGTTCAGGACGAGATGAGACTCTCCATCCCTGGGTTAATGAAGGAAAAGTTCCTGAACATGTTCTGGTCCATGCTGTTGATGAGCGCTCTGTCGGCAAATGATAGCCGGGGTTTCTCACTTAGGAATTCTTTGTCAAAATTGCTACAGTCATACGGTGATTTCTTGGTCACAGATTACAGGAGAGAGAAAAAAAAAGGAAGAAAAGTTCGTTACCTTAACTTTAATTATCTTGTCTATAGTGTGTGCATGGTGATCAAGTTGGCATTTACAGATAACCCGAGGTAATACAGATTATCACGCATGGTTTGTATGGAACATCTCTAAATCTGAGCTATCAGTTTTTTATTAGGATGATTAAATTCATATAAAGGAACTACAGTGTTACATTCAAAAGGATCTAATGCTCCTAGTCACTAGCTTACATGAAGAAGGACTGGTAATTTTTGGATCAGTGGTGACTCTGAGTTTGACCTTTGTCTTTTTAGTCTATCAGGAACAGAAAGAAGGGAGAAGGGACAGGGCACTGCAGGTTATATAGTCCTGGTATTTTGGTTGTTTTGTGTGTGTGTATGTGTGTGTGTGTGTGTGAGTGTGTGTGTGTGTGTGTATGTGTGTGTGTGTAGGGTCTCATTATGTAGCTCAAATTGGAATTCAATATGTACCCATACTAGCCTCAAAGTCACAGCCTCCTGTCTCAGCCTCCTGAGTGCTGGGATTACAGCATGTATGCCATGCCTGTCTATTCCTGTTCTTTTTCTCAGTATCCTTTACTATCACACGTGGTGGGTTGCCTCTCACAGACAGCACAGATTAGAATAAACTTTTCCATCAGTTCTTGTGACAATGAGACAGAGGGGAAAAGGGAGGGGGAAGGAAAGGAGATGTGGAAAGGGGAGGAGATGGAGCGAGGGAGAGGCAGGAAGAGGGAGGGAGAGAAAGACAGGATGATTAATGAAAAAACAGCCAAGGTCAGCTGTGTCTCCCAATGGGCCCAAGGGCGGATGATGTTGATGGGCTGGTCAGGTCAATACCTCCAGTGGCTCATGTTTATAAACATGATCATGAAGGGAACATAGACTATAGAAATCCCTTTCTGCTGGCAAAACTGAGAATTGTTCCAGAGGATAAGTTAAGAACAAAGTTCTAGCTTTTATATGGAAAATATCAAGTCAACTTTAGTATTCAGTGGCAGGCCAGGCATGAATTAAGCTGTCCTGTTGTAAAAAAGTAGTGAAAATTCATGTTATCACAAATGATGTCATGTATTAGATATGATATTGTTATAACCGATCAGTTTGAAACCAGCTTGTGGGACATTCCCAGTGCTTGGGACAAATGTCCAGGGCGATTTTAACTCTGGGAACAAGGGTTACTTATGTTTTCAATCACAATGAATAACTGTGGCTGTTTTCTAGAGTGAAGGTTTTGCTAGGAACCCCCGACGACCGTGTCATTTTGGCAAAGTTATGCCAGCCACGGTCCATGTCTAGTTAGGTGATTACCATAGGTTCCCAGCAATCAATCAGCGTGGTTAAAAATTACTTATTGTTTTGGACTGTGGTAAAATACAAACAAAATCTATAATTTAACTTAATTGTATATGTGTGTGTGTGTGTGTGTGTGTGTGTGTGTACATGGAGGCCAGAGAAGAACTTGAGTGTCCTGCTCTACCACTCTCTGCCTTACCCCCTTGAGAAAGGGTTGCTCACTGAACCTGAAGCTGGGCTGGACGTCAGCAAGCCCCAGAGATCCTCATGTTTCCTCCTACAATAGCCTTCATGTGGCCATACCTGGCTTTTTGATGTGGCTGTTTGGGGATTTGAACTCAGGTCCTCATACTTTCACAGCAAGAGCTCTTACCTGCTGAACCATCTCCCTAGACCACCATCTGACTATTTAAAACAATATTTTATTTATTATTTTTATTTTGACTTTTTTTTTTCAGAGCTGAGGACCGAACCCAGGGCCTTGCACTTGTTAGGCAAGCACTCTACCACTGAGCTAAATCCCCAAGCCCTATTATTTTTATTTTATGTGTATGCGGGTATCACCTGCATGTAGGTAAGTGCATCCGTGTTGTGCAGTGCACACAGAGGACAGAAGAGACTGTTGGATCCCCTGGAACTGGAGTTACGGACAGCTGTTAGCTGCCATGTGGGTGCTGGGATTCGAACCTGGGTCTTCTGCAAGAACAGTCAGTGTTCTTAACTGCAGAGCCATCTCTCCAGGTCCTCACCTGACTATTTTTAGGAGCACAGCTCAGAGGCATTAAGTACATCAATGTGTTGTGCAACCATCAGCACCATCCACTTCCAGAACTTCTGTCTTAACTTTGCCTTTGCTTGTGTGCTGGGCCATCCTGTGTGTGAGCTTCTGCCTTCTGGGATGTAGGTTACTGGTGATTGCTTTTCTATATACATGTAGAAATTTAGAGTTTTTGTTTTGTTTCTCAATATTGGCCTACCTTTCTTTCCTTAAATTGAGGAACACATCATGATTGCTTTAAGGAATGTTCTTATTTGGATATGCTACAGATGTTAGAGACACATAAGTAAATGTAATATAAAAAGTGGTTTTAAAGTTTCTAACCTAGTTTACAGAGTTTATGTACAAGTATGGGTCACCCAGTATGGGAATGACTTTTCTGGGAATGCCTCCTGTCTTACCTAACTTTGTAGCCAAAGTTAATCTTATGTTTTGAGATCACTGAACACTATCTCAGTTTTTTTACAATGGGAATATTCTTACTAGGCCTTGGGCCTTGTAATCAGCTTATACAAACAGCTAAACACATAGCTTTAATCTTAGATTATGTTCCCTATTTGGTCCCTCATAACCCTTGCTTGGCCCAGAATAATGCATGTGGTGTGCGTTGTGAAAAAATCAGTATTGAAAGAAGCAAAGTTGGAAGCAACACATTATCCCCAGTCTCTGTTGCAAACAACAGGTGGGATTAGGTTGATAACATCTATTTGTGGTTTTATGTGCTGTTTTAGGTCAGTAGGGGTCAGAAAAGGCAAAATCTTCCCCCATAAGATAAGGCTACACATTTCTTTCCCAAGTCATGCTGGATGTACTGTTTAAATAAACAAAGTACACCCCTGGTTGGAAGAATAGTTCTGAGAGAAATCAGAAGGGACAATTCTGAGACTAGATTGGGCTTCACTCTTGGTTTAAAGCCCCAAGAGTCAGATTGCCTTTGTTCAGTCAGCACCACACTGTGGCATCTGCCATAACCTAGACTGTGACAATGTATGTGTCACATGCAAAACCCCATTTGCTCTGACAGCACCCTTACATGTTCAACTTTGGAATATTCTGTAATCCATTCTTCCCATAGGAGCATTGTGACTGTACAGGTTGAATTTTGTAAGCAAGAGGAACACCCCCTCCCCTCTCCACCAGCCACGGCACATAATGAAGAAACACAGTCTCCCCAGAGGATGGGGTACAGTGTAAGGGGGGATTTGGGCACGTTGGGGGAGCTATTACTTGGGTAAGCTGTCAGACTGTGAGGGGGGAGGAGGGACTGAGCCCAGGCTGTCCAGTGGGGAAGTTCTTACCACTTTTGGCCTGAAGGGCGGGTCAATCTCCTTTCTCTCAAGTTCCTCCCAGCTGATCTCCCGGAACAAGGGATGCTGGCGGATGTCTCCTCGCACACCCAGTCTCTTTTCAGGTTCTCTCACAAAAAGCTGCAAGGGAGCAGAGACAGGGAGCTCACTTCTCCAGGTATGAAAACTTCGACGGGTATGTGTTTTTGTCCTTAGCCTACAAGCCACTGGCTTTTCTACTTACCTCTGTGAAGATGGACAACTGTCAAACTGGCCTCTACTCTCCCCCTGAATGAGCCTTTCTGAACACCCCAGAGTCAGGGTGGACCTCCTTATTCTTTGCCCTAGACAGGCTCTACTGTGAGTTATAAAGACACAGTGTGAAATCAGCTTCACTCTGTGATATTTGTGGGATTTATGGCCAGGGCTGGAGCTCTAAGTTGGATTCTTAACCTTCAAAGTATGTCAAGTGTGTATCTCACAGGGCTATCCTGAGGATTAAATGAAACAGTAATATACACATACACATATACACACCTATACATATACACATACATGTAAACACACCGAAATACATGTACACACAGTATACTTGCACACCTTAACATAGATAACTATGAGTGCAATCACATGTACTTGGGAGTTTGATTGGACAATACCAGGGGAGCATAGCTATACCCTTCACCAAAGGCTGGTCCTTTTTTATGGGAGAAAGTTGTTGTTTTTGATGGAGCTTGCAGCTTCGGGAGGGATGTACATGGATTGGTGAGAGAGGAAGGGGACACCTGCCTAGTTAGCAGATCAGATGTATCAACCCTGATGAACAATGGGTGACAGATGTCAAAGCCAGATCACTCTCACATATCAATCAAATGTACTTGGACACAGCACACACATGTACATACAAACATGTATGTAGGTGTATACATGCAAACGGATAAGCATATACATGTGCTCACACACATATGTACATGTGCATCACCCCATGTTTGTTCAATGTAACACCTGGTCTGCAATACCCAATAGCACAAGTCAGGTATGGTGGTCTGTGTCTGCAATCCCAGCACTCAAGAGGCCAGGGTAGAGGACTGTAATGTTCAAGGCCAATCTGGGCGACAAAGTGAGAACAAAGCCAGTCTATATAGTGAAATCCTATATTCAAAAAACCTTATAAGGTTAAAACACCCACAACAGCATAGAAGGAGTGATTAATTAATTTGTCTAACTTACTGCCCATCAGTCAAATATGACATTTCCTATGAAGCTGCCCTCTTAGGACTTCAGCATTGTGGGGCTTCTGTGTAATGCCAACTAGTCCCCCACGTTTAGCTTAGGTCTCCTCAAGGCATCTGAATATAGAGAATCACCCTTGACTCCTGCAGACCTGCAGGCCAAGTGCTATTTAATCCCAAATCCACCTCTCTATCCATTCAGGTGGGGCATGTGCACTCTCTCCTTCACATCTTCCTTTCTTTTCACCTCATGAGGTCAAGAAAGGCAAGAAAACAATCTGGAAGCTTTTCAAACTTTAACCTGTCCAGGGCATTATGGAACAGGAAAGTCTAAACATTCTTAGAAAAGTAACAGACCCCTCCAGTGTCTCAATAATTTCTTATTCCCAGATCAGCAAGATGTCTGTTTATAAAGTCACAGCTAGGGTGTTCGAAGGAGACTATGGATCTGAAGGAATAAAACATGGTGAAATGTAGCGATTTTTCAAGAGGCTCCAGTAAAGATTCGGCCATCATCTCTTGCTTTCACTACTTTCAGAATAGACAGATTATTCTGAAAACCTTTTAAAATTATGTTATTGTACTACTTGAAAACCTTTAGTCTCTATCTAAATCATAAAGACTAAACAACATCTTGTAGAAAGCTGGGGATATTTTTCTTATTTCTTTATTTTACAGGGGAGTCTCTTCTAAAGTTCCAAGTGCAGTTGGCATGTTGGAAGTGGAGACAGGAGGATCAGAAGTTAAAAGGCCAGCCTTTACTACCTAGTGTTTGAGGCCAGTCCTATCTTAAAAGTGTAATGCTTATGCAACCAATGCATGTACATTTAGTAAGTCCTCAGTGTGATCCCAGCGCCTCTCTTACCACATGGTGGCCATGGAGGCTACTTAGTGGGATCTGGGGTTTCCAAAGTGCCTTGTTATATAACTGCTGCATGGTGGAAACAACTTGATTTACTGCAGTCACAGTACAGAATGAGTGACTAATTTATTTGCCTGACTCACTCTTCATGTAGCCTTGGGTAAGCTGTCTGAACTTAATTTTCTTATGCTAGCCATTTTTCCATTACTGTAACAAAATACTTGAGTCATCAATTTAAAATGTAGGAAAGTTTTATATTGGCACATAGTTTCAGAGGTTTCAAGCCATGGTCAGTTGGCCTTATGGCTTTTGGGCCTGTGATGATTCAGAAAATCCTGACAAGGGGCTTGTGATAGAGCACAGTGGTCACCCTCCTCACAACCCAGGAGCAAAAAGAGAGAAAGGGGAGGGGCTAGGATCTGAAAATTCCCCCAGTAACCTAATGTCTTAAAGTTTCCAGCACTTCCCAATTGCACCAATCTGGGGACCAAGCCTTCCAAATGGGGGTGTTTCAGATCCATACTATAGAAACTCCATCTGTAAAGTAGAGGATTAGTCAGGGTGACTTCTCGGACCCAGGGTTCTGTTGTCTCCATTCTTCTCAGCATTCAAGCCACACTGTAGCCTGGTCCAACACACCTGTCCCTCCTGGGACACATCTACTCATTGAATAGGCTACCTGCCTTTCCCAGTTTCATGATCCTTCATCTTCAAGGAGGTAACTCTACCCAGCTACTTCTCCTCAGATTCTTCTCTTAGTCTTTAAAGCCTGCCTGTCTTCAGGGCTCCACTCGTGCCCTCCTTTTCTTGATCCTCCCGCCCCAACTTGGTGAGCTCTACCTCTTCTTCGAGGTCATTTGATTGGTTACATCATTCATTCCGACTGATGTCCTTCCAGAGTCATGCTCCCTGTTAGCTGTCTCAGCCAGTTCATCCTGGTTTGATGTGATTTATTATCCTAATGGTATGTATTTATGGAGTACAGGGTTGATTTATATATGCTCTGTGGAATGACTAAATCCAGATAATAAGCACGTCCTATGCCTCACTTTTTTTTGTGTGTGTGTGATGAGAACATTTAAAACCTGTTCCACACACTTCAATCCTGCAGTGTCCATGCTGGACAGCAGATCTTCAGAACGAAGTCTACCCATTTAAGTGGTGTTGAAACTTCATCTTAAGTTTAGAATAAGTCTGAAAAACAAGAACTAGGACTAGCAAGATGGCAGTGGGTAAAAGCGCTTCCATACAAGCTTGATGCCCTGAGTTCAGTCCCTGGAAACCACAGTGAAAGGACAGAAGTGACTCCTCAAAGTCATCCTCTGACTGTCACTCACACCCATGCTGTGGCACATGTACCTGCACTCATATACACATATGAAACACACATACAACAACAACAACAACAACAATAATAATAATAGTAATAATAATAATAATAAATGTTAAAAGGAGAACCAGGAAGCTTATTGGTATCCAATTGCTGGTTGAGGAAACAGAGGCTCAGAGTAGCTAGGTCACTTGTTCAAGATCATGAATCCAGTCAGCATCAAAACCCTCACAGTAGCATCCTCCATCCCACTGTGGTGGCGGGCAGTCTCTCTGCTGTGCTCCAAAGAACATCTTCCAATGAGAAAGTCTCACCTGGTGTATGTTTGTCAAGTTGTTTTTACTATGAACTGTAAACTCTGGGAAATGGGCATCTTTTATATGTTCGGTTCTTACAGAGTCACGCAGCATCCCTTAAACTGAGCAGTTATTTAGGAAGTCTTTTAGATAACTGAATATGCCATCTTTCCTGCATCATGGTAATCGGCAGACTATGTGTAATTTGTTCTCACCATCTCTCAGTCTCTTGTTTTCAGCATATAGAAAAGACACCCAAGTTCACTGTCATTTTTCTCTGGACTCAACAACCTGGGAGTCAACAGATAGAAAAGCAAACTGGTTTTCTTTAAATATTTATTGTATTTTTATTCTCTCTCTCTCTGCAGAGGCCAGAAGCAGCCAGATCCCCTGGAGCTGGAGTTAAAGATGTTTGAGAGCCTCCAGATGTGGATGCTCAGAGCTCAACTTGGGTCCTCTGCAGGAGCAGCAAGTGCTCTTAACCACTGAGCTATCCATCACTCCAACTCTATTTGTTTTCTATTTTAAGAGCAGAGGGACTAAGTGACTTGCCCTATATCTCTTCCTTAGAAATGACCATAATAAGTGGTTGACCTCCACCTCTTCAGGACCTTTTGATGAAACAAGATGAGACAAAAGGTTTACGTGTCTTAAGAATCAGCCCAAATCTAGCTGACATTGGTATAATGAAACGCTTCAGGGAATTAAGTTAGAAGTCACCGCCCTGGGCCAACTGTGCACCACGCTCAGTTTCCCATTAGATTTTCTCAGCAAATGTGACATTGGGACCAAGAAAATCATAACAAAGAGCTTGGTTTAGGCACCTGTGAAATAAAATAATGTGTCTTTATGGCAAAATGGGAAATGAGAAGATGCTCTCCACCTTCAAGCTTTAGTCGACAACTGTGAACCCTGATCTTTTCTCCCAGGAGTAAACAGACGCACTGTCCTGAGGGTGGCACATCTGACTCCCGACGGGGCCAAGGTCAAGGGCTTTGCAGCAGGACAGCTACACGAAGGAAATGAAGAAAGATATGCTTTTGCTGGTGAAAGCCTTCTGGAGAGTGGTTTGTATACATAGGGAACAGCCCACTCGTACATAAAAGGCCAGAATATAGTTGGAGTTTGTTTAAATTGATTTGTCAGCCTGGGAAAGGAAGTAGTTCCAGGCCAGCAGCAGCTGTGACAGGCTGTACTTGGATTCCGCCACCCTCTTTAGTCCCACCTTAGATTCATCTTCCCGTGAAAAGGGAGATGGAGCTCTGTTTAAGATCATTAGTTTCCCATCATTTTCAAACAAAAGGCCCGGATATCCTGGATGAATAAATGGGAGAGAAAAGGATGCTATTTTTGGCACTAGCCAACAGCACAGCAGGAGTCCTACCTCTAAGTCTTGACAGAGCACAGCTTCTCCTGACCTGCCATTGTTCAGTACGGTGCACGTACCCCTGCCTTATGAGGATTCAAGGCGGCAAGAGTCTGGTACTGATGCCATAACCAACCACACAAGGCTGCCTTGTTCAGCTTTTCCAGAGGACTCGTGACTTCTTGGTTTTACAACATCATGGAAAAGTTCCTGGAGGGAGTTTCTGAAAAATGATATTTTCTTTGTATTTTTCAGAAAAGGGGGTCTAGGGCTTGGGGGTTGTTGGGTTGACTTTTAAATCGATTGAGGAAGAGAGATAAACTGGAAACCAGTGTCAGTGGCAGCAAATTGCATAATGGAAACAAATTTTTATCAGCCCAACTGCTGCAACATATGGAAGAAAGAAGGACATGACTTTTATTTTTAAACTAATTTATGTGCGGAAATCACAAGTTCAAAGGCTTCCAAGTGGCTTTAAAACCTCTTCCGTCTACTAGTCCTTGAAGTCTTTATCCTTAATCGTCTTGGTTTCGATCTATTCACTGAATTTATTTCCTGTTCTCATAGCACATCTTTCTTTTGCTACCAATATTCTGCATAAAAATTTATTGTTTAGTTTTTGTGTTTGCATGACATTTAGCCTTATATTTACTTTTAAAACTGTTTATTATAGGCTAGAAAGATGACTCAGCAGTTAAGAGCATTGACTGCTCTTGCAGGGGACCAGGGTTTGAGTCCCAGCACCAACATGGCAGCTAACAACGATCTGTAACTCCAGTTTCAGGGGATCTGACACCTTTTTCTGACCTCTGAGGGTGCTGAGCATTGATATGGTGCACTTACATACATGCGGGCAATACATGCATAAGCATAAAATAAACATATTATTTTTAAAATATTTTATTTATTATTTTTATTTTATGTGTGTACATGTATTGCCTGCATGTAGGTAAGTGTACCATGTCATGCGATGCCTCCAAGAGGACAGAAGAGGCCATCAGATCCCCTGGATTTGGAGTTACAGACAGTTGTTAGCTGCCACGTGGGTGCTGGGATTCGAACCTGGGTCTTCTGCAAGAACAGCCAGTGTTCTTAACCACCGAGCCATCTCTCCAGCCCCTATAGTAAATATTCTTAAAGTGTTTATTCTCTCTCATTCTCCCCCACCCCACCCCCAGTGCACATGTGGAGGTCAGAGGACAACTTGCAGGAGTTGGTATTCTCCTTCTGTACGAGTCCTGGGAGTCAAACTAAGGTCATCAGGCTTCGTGGCAAGTGTCTTTATCTGCTGAGTCATCTCAAGTAAGTCTTACCTCTGTAAGTTTTGTGTGTGTGCAGGTCCAAGTGCACGTGCATAGGCCATCGTTGGTGTTGCTCCTCTGGTGTCTCCAACTTGTCTTTTTGAGACAGGATTGCCACTTGATCTGGCACTTGCCAATTCATCTAGGCTGAGATTCAGGATCAGCCTGTCCTCACCTCCCCAGTCCTGGGATTACACGTGCAGACCACCACACCTGGTTGTTTTTAAGCTTTTTATTTTGAAACGACGATGGCTTCCCAGGACATTGAAAAGCTAGTGCAGAGAGCCCTGTGTGTGCAGCACTCCAGTCTCTTCCACAAAATGACAGCATGGCATCAAAGCTAGGAGGTGCGTTAAACAATATGTGTTCTAGGACACTTTATGACATGTGTGGGCCTGGGCCACCACCATGACAACAAAGATACAAAGTCTCCTCACCACAGAGGTTGGTCTTGCTACCTTACGCAGTCATAGTCATTATCCTGCCGCACCTCCCAGCCCCTAGCCACCATGACCCTGATTTCCATTTCTGCAACATCGTCATTTTGATTACAGTGTGTAAATGGACTCCTAGAGCTCATGCCCTCTGGACATTGGCCTTTGTCCTTGAGATCCGTCCAGCTTGTTTGAGGTATCAGCGTTTTGCTCTTTATCATTCTGTATGGGTTTCTGTGGAGAGTCACCTTTTCCTTTTCTACCCGAAGGTCTTTCTGACCTTGGCAATCAGCTCTCCCAACTTTCTTCCGTAAGTTACTTCTTGTTGGCTCTGCCTGGCTCTGCCCTCTCACCCTCCACCCTTTGTCAGACGACGTCTCAGATGCTGCAGTGGAGCCGAGTTTGGAAGGCACAATGGGAAGACTGGTTTCCATGACACATCCATGTGATGGGGAATTGCAACTAACTCTGGGGCCTCCGTCTCAAGACTTTCCAGATGATGGCTTCAAGGTCTGAAGGTGACTCAGCCTCTGATGATGGGCTTGGTTCTCTTTTTCCTTGGTTTCTGGTCCTGGCATTTTAGTATAGCTTTCACTTTAAGGACTGAGTTACATCACCTCAAAATTTGCATGTCAAAATCCTAACCCCCCAATATGACTGCAGAAAGGGACTTTATGGAAATAGTTAAAGCTAGATGAGATTACAAGGCTGGGGCCCTGATCCCATAGGATTAGTGTCATTATAAGAAAGAGATACCAGAGTGTTCATGTATATCCTCACTACCCCTCCCCCTAACACACACTTTGCTTTCTCTTTTTCATGAAGATACAGCAAGAAGGTGACCACCTATCATCCAGGAGGAGAGCCATCTCCAAGAACTGACCTTGATCTTGGACCTCTAACCTCTAGAATGGTGAGAAATAAATGTCTGGTATTTAAGTCACTCAGGCTAAGATGTATCAGTATGTGGGGCATGCTGGGGTCATTCTGACCTGTATGCATATAAGTATTGCCCAATACAATTTGCCAAGCAGTTAACAGTGAGAAAAAAATGTTGTCTGATTATTCTGGGAACATTCTGCTAAGGCAGCTGGAGCTAACAAAATCAATTCACACTGAGTCCTTCACAACGCCAAGTGCAAAATGTAGCAATTGTCGTGAAGTTTGAACTTATCTTAGGTAAAGTGAAACTGTATTCAAATCCCACTAGCTTCTTTTCACCAGTGTTCTTTTTTTAATTAGTTAAAATTAGCTTTTATTTACATGTATTTTGTTCACTCATTAAAAGTGAATTTAATTGGTCATTCAGGGAGTTTTCTGAGTTTATTGTTTGTTGGCTCCCAGTCAGGAAGCACAAGTTGGATGGAACAGGCTCAGATTTTTAAATACCTTAGTTCCACCAACCTTAGGCTGGGTTTCCCATGGGGCTTTGTCAACACCTCTTAGATTCAAAACTGTGATTCACAGGGAAAACTCTAGAGCTGCCTCAAAATTTCTAGTATCTCAGATAAGTTGCCTTACAGGGTGGAAGTATAATGTCATTTAAATTTAATTCCAAGTAGTTCTTCAAGAGAAAAAAGATGAGCCTGGAAATTTCTCCTCTCTTCTCCTTTCCTCCCCTTTCCTGTCTTCCTCCTTCTTCTCTCCTTTATCTTTCTCCTCCCTCCCTCCCCCACCTCTTCTCTCCTCCCCTCCCTCCCTCCCCTCTTTCCCATGCTGGGAGGGAATGTAGAGCCTTGTTTATGCTGGATAAACCTCTCTGCCACTGAGTTGTATCCCCAGTCATGGAAATATTTTTCAGTTTTGATTAAAACACATTAATAGGGATTAGAGAGATGGTTCAATAGTTAAGAGCAAGTACCACTCTTGCAGAGCACCCAAGTTTGGTTCTCAGCACCCATGTCGGGTGGGTCACAGCTACCTGTAACTCTAGTTTTAGGGGATCTGGTGTCCTCTTCTGGATTCTGTGGGTACCTATTTTAATATATCTAAAAATATATTATTTTTAATACAGCAAGGGCAAGGCTAAAATTATTTCCCTAAATGATAACTTTTAACCAATTTTAACTACAAATCAAAACAATGGTTTTTGTTTCTGTTCCCAAACACCTCTTTTTCGTGGTTCATTTCTTTTCGATTTGACAGGCTCTGGGTCACACTGGTGGATCTCTTTGACCCTAAGATCTTCTGGAACAAAATGAAAGGCTGACTATTCTCATGTGTATTTGGCATGTTGTGTTGATATGTTGATTTTATTTTAGAACTCGTTACAATCAGACATTAGGGATCTCAGGAAAGGAATGGAGAGGCTGTGGAAGTAGCTTGGTCTGGGCATGAGGACCGAGTTCAGATCCCCAGCAATCATGTAAGAATCCAGGCACAATGGCGTGCATCTGTCACTCCAATACTGGGAGTGGGGCAAAGACAGAAAGAACCATGGAGCTCATTGGCCAGGCAGCCTAGTTGAACTGGTGAGTTCCAGTTTCAGTGATAGACCCTGCCCCCAAAGTAAGATGGAAAACCAACAGAGGAGGACACCTGATGTCAGTCTCACACACACCCACAAAAGGAAAGGATTCTTGCTAATGTCCTGATTCTTTTCTTTTTTAAAAAAACTTTTTAGTTTTTATTTTATGTGTATGAATGTTTTGTCTGCATGTCTGTGAGTGCATCTGTGTTGTGCAATGCCCATGGAGGCCAGAAGAGGGCATCAGATTCCATGGAACCAGAATTACTAATGGTTATTAGCTGCCAAGTGGGTGCTGGGAACCAAACAAGAGCAGCCAGTGGTCTTAACCACTGAGTCATCTCTCCAGTCCTAAAGTCCTGATTCTTAATAGGAACCCAGGTTCCCCTGGCTGTTCTTACATTGGTATTTGTTTCTCTTGGGGCTCCTGTCTGTGGCTTATGACTACTGGGGTGCAGTTGCCATTGATAGCACTGTAATAGTTCTTAATGTATCCTGAGTTATCACAGATGGGCAGTGCATGTGTCCAACTTCTGCTTTGAAGGTGAATTCTGGACTTTGCTAAGATGATAATAGCTTGTTTTCTCAAAGTTTGTTAGAGTGATGGATGCATTGATAGTTCCAATGCACAGCAGGAAAGGCAGGTGGGAGGAGAGCTGGTCAATGTGCATTGGAGGTACTGCCTAAAATAATTGCTGGTCAGGTGACAAATGGTGGGAAATGTTGTTTATTCAGCGCTATAGGCAGGAAGGTGGGGAATGGTTTCAATAGGCTGCATTTAAAGGGCCAAACATTTCCTCAATATTAAGTATTTCCAGAGAAAATACTAGAATGTCTCAGCTTTGTGTGTGTGCACATTTCTGGGTATTGAAACTAGAATGTCACACATGCTGGGCAAGCTCCATACTGCTGAGCTAAAGTCCCAGCCATTTTGAAATCTGAGGTAGGTTCTCATGACTACATTATCTTGGAACTCACTCACACCAAATGTGTGATCCTCCTGCCTCAGCCAGAAGAACACCTGGGATTACAGGCCTGTGCCACCAGGCCCAGTGAGTGCCTCAGCCTGACCACCTGCTGGGTGCAGAGTGTGGAGCTATCCAGCTGAATAAGAATGATTCTTTCTCCTCCTTCCTTCCTATCTTGTTTCTATCTAGAACATTCCGAAGGAGAGACTCAAATTAGACAGCCTCAACATGAGTGCGGTGGGAGCCACTGCCAGTCATGAACTCTGACAAGAGAGGGCAGACGTCTCAGCTGCAACGTGAAGATGCCTGTGATAACTGATATCTTGAACTGCATGCTTTCAATTTCTCGACTGAGACAGTGTTTTGTGACTTAAGTGGGTGAGAGGTTTGTCCTTACCTGAGAGTAGGCAGAAAAGTCATGCGTTCTGCCCAGGGGTTCAGCCACGGCAGAGGACACACTAGAACCATTTCTTTTTTAAATTTAGGAAACCAAAGACTGCACTGTAAGCCACACAGTGGTTGGTTAAGGCAGTCATGGAGCTGCTTCCAGGGCATTTCTTTTATAAATGGTGAAACGGTTTATCTTACTTTTTGTTTTGTTTGATCGTGTGTATGAAACACGATCTCATGTAGCCCAAGCTGGCCTCTAACTCATTATGTAGCTGAGGATGACTCTGAGCTCCTGATCCTGCCTCTACCTCCCAGGTGCTGGAGCTGCAGGTGTGAACCATTATGCTTGGCTGTAAATGTCTGGTTTTTTTTTTAAATGGTTTTTTTAAAAAAATTTTGTCTTTATTATTTTACCTTTTGAAGTTGAATTTTCTCATTTTAATTAGTATGTACAAAAGAATAAATTTCATTGACATTTTCATCCATATAAAACATTGTACTAGCTCGTATTTGTGCCCTCCTTTTCCACCCCTCTCCTGCCCACTGGTTCCATTCCATTCTTCCCTTCAAATAGTTCCTTTTCTGTTTCTGATTTCACACACACACACACATACACACACACACACACACACACACGGAGGCCAGAGGTAAAAATCTGGATACTGCCTATGAAAGAAAATATGAGTTACTTTTCTTTCTACACTAGGTCCTTTTACCCACTCTTGATACCCAGAGGATGCATTTTAGATTCATTTTGATACCTACTGTTCACAATTGCTTGAAACAGTGACAGTGAGCATCCCCTTAAATACAGGTCAGCACAAGCTGTGGTGCTCCACCGAGTCTGAATCAGAATCTGGTAAGAAATGAGACTACTGAGCAGAACCCAGGGCTAATCTTATGAATCCCTTCTTAGAGTAATTTCTTCTTCCTTTTTTTACGCTTTATGTTTTTTAAGATCAATGCTAGGGGTCAAACTCAGGGCCTTGCAGAAGTAGGCAAGCACTTTCCCCATGAGCTATGCCCCAGCCTTTAACTTCATTTCCTACCTTCACCAAGAGATCCTTGGCCTCCTTCTCCAGCCATCGTGGGTAAAAGGGATTGTCCATGCGGATGGAGTGGAAAAGCTCCTCTTCATCTTGCCCGTGGAAAGGTGACTGGCCAATCAGCATTTCGTAAAGAACACCACCAAAGGACCACCAGTCAACGGAATGGTTGTATTTTTGACCCAGCAAGATCTGTATAACCAAAAGGCAAAGGCATAATTAATAGATGACTTGGATGACTGATAAACACTTCCAGTGTCTCGAGGTTGCTCAGCAAATGACAGTTGATTCTCAAGTGGAAATAGTTTCTTTTGACACAGTTGATGAGGGATAGAAAAGACATGATGTCAAAATTTCCGAGTTTGAGTAGACATCTTAGAGTTCCATTCTTTGCTTTTTCTCTGGCTCTGAGCACAGTGACCGAACCATGCCTATTCATTTTCACACCTGAGATGGGAAGACTTGGGTGGCAGGTGCTGGATCCAATAAAGCTGGTTTGAATCTAAGTTCTCCTGGTACCTTTGGCTTGGGAAGCTAAAACAAACCCATGTGTTTTACTTACATCTGTCCTCCCGACTCTCTACATAAAGTCTAAGTAATTTATTTGTAAAAACAAAGATCATGCAATGGACAGAAATTTGCTATATGCTGTTGATTTCCATAATAAATGTGCCACCTGTTAGCTTTAATTCAATATTTAAATATAAAAGCTCACTTTAAAGCCTACAAACAAAAACCCAGAAAACTTTGCCTTAAGGAATAATCTAAAAGTAGACCCTGGGAGAATGACGAGGAAGGAGACATACATCAGCACAAGGGGGACTTTGTGCAGTAAGTGGAAACCAGGCTCACACGCAATTCCCAAGAAATGCCACAAGGGGGTGCCAAAGCAACCAGAAAAGGCTCCGAGCAACAGCATCTTTGTAAACAACTTCATTCTGGCAGAAGAAATGAAAATAAATTTGGGGGGACAGGAGATAGCAGTGGTGGAAATGAGACCTTTTAGGCCAGGTGATGTTAGTTAAAGTAAATTCAATCTTAGTTAAGAGGAACGGACAAAATGCAAAAGCACACAGAGAACAGAATGTCCTAGGAGCGCGGACACCGAATAGGTGTCTCATACACTGTGTCTTCGATTCTAAGGACACCCTGAACTGCTGCGGCTCTCTCCAGACGAGTGGCTGGACTTAGGGAGGCTGCGGTTCTAATTTCAGGCCTCACTGTGGCTGGGAGCTGTGTACTAGAGTCCAGTCTCTGAGGAGTTCAAGACACAATTCTCGGCTCACAGTTAACACTGTCTCCCTTTTCTTCCTTCCCAGCACAGTCCTTTGCACACTGTTCTGGAGAAAAGAGAGGAGTGGAGTTGCACTGGCTAGAGAAGCCCTTCTTTCCTATCTCAGCCTGACTGACCTCTATTCTTTTATCTCACTCCTTTCCCTCCCCCATCCTTTACCCCAAGAACTGAGAAGCAGGACTCCAAACCCAAGAAACTAGCAAGTACTGGCCACCGGGTCACCACTGTCTGTCACTTGTAGTGATTGACAGCAGCAGGGAGAAAAACTAGCATGTTAAGGTGTGCTCAGTCCTGAGCTGACCAGCTCCTACTTGGATGAAACATATTCCCATCTGTGAAAATAAAGATCTAGTAGCAAACAGAATTTTGAAACCTCCCATGGATTTCCAGTAATAAAATGCCCCTGCTAGCTTTATTTCAGTATTTAAATATGAAAGTGAACCTTAAAGTTTACCAATACTTGTTTTGTTTATTTGGAGACAGGGTCTCTCTGTAGCTCCAGCTGGCTGGAACTCACTTGTAGACCAAGTTGGCCTTGAACTCAAAGAGATCTGCCTGCCTCTGCCTCCCTAGTGCTGGGATTAAAGGCGTGCATCATAACACCTGGTTACCAACAACACCAAAAAACCAAAATCCTTTGCCTTAAGGAATAATCTAAAAGTAGACCCCTCGAAAATGACCAGGAAAAGGAAGACTGAGCTGACACGTCTTGTAGGCAAGGGCTGCTAGAATACCAAGTGACCCCCTGGTCTTAAACTGGGTTCCAAGTGACCCCACTTGGGGTGGAGAGCTGTGACTATATACTGAAATGCGATATGGATGGACCGCATGGCTCCCGTGCATTTGGAAGCAGGTCTTTTGTCTACTTCACTGTTTGCCTATTTTTGTCCAAATGAGCTGGGGCCTCCGTTACACGCAGACCCTCTTCTCTCCTACAGCTGGGGGACCGGAGGCAACCGTGGTGAATTAGAGAGGAGCATCAGGTCTCAGAGCCTCCTAGTGAGGCTCCAAAATGCACTCGGTGGGGCAACAGGACTCCCAAGGGGAGTCAGTGCCTGTGGGATGGGTTCCATGACCTCAGTCTCTGCTGTTTCCTGCTCCCATGTCTTTAATTCCATGCTTTACCCGGTTGGCTTCTGAGAGCCACAGTCCTTGCCCTGACGGTTCCGATAGCTTAACAGGGGAGAAAGACAGTAAAAGATAGAGTGCTTGGAACAGCAATGGGGATGTGGGGGTTGGATGATGACTGGGGTTCAGAGAAAAGGACCGCTTACCTCCAGCTGCATTCGTGCATGTGTGTGTTTGCACGAAGCCAGAGGCTGACATCGGCTATCGTCAGTTGCTCTTGTTCTTTTGAGACAGTCTTTCACTGAACACTACAAACCTGGCTACATTAGCTGGCCAGCAAGCCTCAGAGATCCTCCTGGCTCCTTCCAGCCCTGGTGCTGGGGTTACAAGTGTACACTGCTACACCTAAACTTGCACAGCAAGCACTTTACTGACAGATTGAGCCATCTCTCCAGCCCTGCATTTTGCTTTTGAGAGAGAGATAGAAACGGGTGACAGGCCATGACCTTCCTACAATAGATGACATGGGATTGAAGTCTTGAAAATGAGAAAATTCTTCTGGGTAGAGAAGATGGTAAAGATGAGTATTGGGTAACAGAGTCCATTAAGTAGGAAATCTAGCATACCTCTAAGATGGGCATTTGGGGTACAAGCTCTGGTGTGGGCTCTTATTCAGGACTCAGCTGATGGGGATGCTCTGAGCTATGGGGAGGAGACAGGGTAGGAAAATCATAGTCCCTGGTGGGGAAGTACTCAGCTTACTAGTCACTGAGGCACGTGTGCTATGACAGCACGGACAAGGAAACAAAAGACAGTTCTGGAAGCCAGAACCATCTTTAGGAGAGAGCATTCTGGAGGTGGATGGCCACCAGCCAGGGACACAGAATGTACACAGGCAGGAATGTCTAGGAAGCCAGGGGTCAACGTGACTGGTCATAGCATTAGGGACCTATACTCAGAGTGAGACTCAGACTCAGGTCTTACTGGGGACTGTGTGGATTTTAAAGCATCAGAGTGATTGGTTTGAACACATAGGCAAATCTGAAAACTTGGGAATAAAATTAGAACTGGTATTTATAGTCATTTAAAAAAATCTAAATTGAGAAAGAACTTGGGTGTTATGAATCATTATTACACAAATTGATACTAGTACCCTCCCTTAATTTAAAAAGCAGATGAGGGATCTTGAGGGAAAGATGGGAAATTCCCAGAAGCAGCTCCACACTCACTTGACTTTCACATGCTCATTTATTTTTTATGAATTGTAAGGTGTATTACTGTTTGGGCTTCTGTCTTAAACTAATTTTCACAAAATGATAAGCCAATGAAAAATTATATGCAAAGATGCTTGGACTGAAACCAATGCAGGAATAATTAATACAAACATATTATCTGGGTTAGAGGCAGTACTTAAATAAATATTAAAATGGTAAGAGTTGGGCCTGGTGGTGCACACCTTTAATCCTAGCACCTGGGAGGCAGAAGCAGGTGGATCTCTGTGAGTTCGAGGCCTGTCTGGTCTACATAGTGAATTCCAGGCCAGTTGTGGCTACAGGGAGATCCTGCATCTCCTCCCCCCAAACAATTTCCAAACCAAACAACAAAGAAAAAGAAGGTAAGACAGTGAAAACGGAGATGGACCCTCTTCTCATGCGGCTTCAGCCACGTGTGGGGAAGCTGAGAGCGATGACCCCGTGAACCAGGTTTTGGCCAAAAAGAAGCTGTATTTAAAAAATCAAATCTCAGCCGGGCGTGGTGGCTCACGCCTTTAGTCCCAGCACTCGGAGGCAGAGGCAGATCTCTGTGAGTTCAAGGCCAGCCTGGTCTACATAGTGAGTTCAGGTCAGCTGGGGCTACAGGGAGACCCTGTCTCAAAAAAAAAAAAAACAAAACACCAAAATCTCTTAAAAATAGTGCTTTGAACTATGGACTTATTTCTGCTATTGTCAGTGATAATCTCTGCCTTAAAGCACATATTATAAATTGTTTCATATTGTACCTGTGAGGGACCTTTACTAGCTGTGACCGTATGTGAATCAAGAATTGGAAAAATGAATCAGACCTTCCTAGAGTCCTAGAGTCCTCGATCCTAGAGTTCTAAAGTATCAAACCTTTTCTAAAAAGTTATTTAATGTCCTAGTTTTAGCCCACTTTCAGTTCAGTCTGCTCACATACATTTTAGGCAGGTTCTACAACACACAGGACATATTAACTGACAACAGTGCATGAGATTCACATATAAAGAGCTCCACATAGCTTGGGAGTGCTTGCTTAACTGATAAAGAAGCATGATCAAAAAGGCTGAAAATATGGGACCAGTGAGATGGCTCAGTGGGGAAAGGCACTTGCTGTTAAGCCTGAGGACCCACATGGGAGCTAATTCAGAGATTCATTTTGAAGATAGTAAAGAACAGCGAATCTTAATTTGGTCTCAGGACTGAGGGAGTGAGAGGTTCCATTTCAGAAAGTCTTAGAGTATGATTGGATTTGGGGAAGGAAAGGGAACACTTGGATATTTCAGACTTTTCTGCTAAGGCAATTGGGTAGAAAGCCCATATTAAACAGGAGAAGTATATTAACAAAAAGGGAAAGGGAGGGCATGTTTAACAAAAAAAGTGACTTTGGGATCTGTTATGTTTAAAGTGCCTGTGATGTTTAGCTGGAGATTTTAGACAGTAACGTGGGCATAGAAGTTTGGAGTAAGAATAAGTTTGGGCTGGCCACACTGATTGTAGAGCTAAAGCTAGTGTCATAAGGCTGGAGAATACATAGCAAGTGGCTGGAGAGACGCATGAAGCGTGCTTACTGCCCTTGCAGAGGACTGGAGTTCGATTCCCAGGACTCACACTGGGAATGGTTCACAACCACCTGTAACTCCAGCTCCACTAGATCTGACGCCCTCTGCTGGTTTCATCAGGCACCCCCCCTACACCCATGCACATAACCACACACAGGCATATACACATCATTAAAAAATAAATCTTAAAAAAGAGAGAGAATACAAAGTAAGAAGAGACAAGGACCAAGCACAGAACCACAAGGTGATAAGCGTGCTTTAAAGTGAGAGGGCAGGAAGATGCAAAGAGAGAAGCAGGTCACCGAAGGTAAACTCAGGAAGCTCCAAACAAAACAGTACTGTGAAGGAAGGTTTGGTAAGGACAGAACAAAACCAGAGGAATTTGCAGATGGGAATGAGTAAGAACATAGCAAATCTGCTTAGACACCCCAAGCTGGAGAGGACAGTGTGCTGGGGTGTGAGAGGACCCAGGAGGCCTCTACTGACGTTGACTTTGATGCAAACACAGTTTAGTTTAGTACTAAGGGGATTTGGTGCTGAATGAGGTCTTCGGCCCTTGTAATTAGCTTTGGGTCCCCTTCAAACGGAAACCGGTTTACTATACCAGTAATCAGTCTGGATGCTCACCTGTAGATGTCCAATATCAGAAAGGCATAAAATCAATGAACCATACCCTCTGAACTCAATGATTCCCAGACAGTTAAAATACCCATGCTGTTTTGAGGAACAGAGGTCATCTGTGTCTTTAAGCAAAATTAAATTAAAATGAAATTCCACAGAAGCACAAGGGAGGCGAGATGGCTCCTAAGCTCCAGCGGCCACAGTTAACTGGGGATGACAGGGATTCACTGCTGACTTGTTTACTTGTGAAATCAGTGGTCTGTTTTTATCAGACCGTCATCCTCCACTCACAAGTTTGCCTTTCCTTTCCTTTCCTTCCTTCCTTCCTCCCTCCCTCCCTATTTTCCTTCCTCCCTCCCTCCCTCCCTCCCTCTTCTTCCTAAGGCTATTTATGCTCAGTTTGCTCTGCCAGTCCCTTCACTGGATCTTGTCTATAAAAGGGATGATCACTGAAATCCACCCATGAGGGGAAATGGTATTGAATCATGTCTATTTTGTACCTATGTCAGTATCTTTGGTGCATGCACGGTGGGTGTGCACGCCTGCATGAGGCGTGCTGGTGTGGGGTGTTGGGTGTCCTGCTCTGTTACTCTCCACCTTACTCCCTTAAGGCAGGGTCTCTCACTGAACCTGGAGCTAAGCTGGCAGCCAGCAAGCCCAACTGACCTTCCCACCTCCCCCTACCAAAGTACTAGGGTTGGAGGTGTGCATGGGCAGGCCTAGCTTTTTAAGTGGGCGCTAGAGGATTTGAACTTAGGTCCTCATGCTTGTGCAACAAGCCCTCTTAACCAGCTGAGTCATCTCTCTAGCCTCAGTGTTTGATACTGCATCACTGCAATGGGAGATGTAACCACTGAGGTCCTGGATGAAGGGTATGGGTAGGTGCCTCTGTACTGCCTCCCGACTTCCTGTGAATCTGTAATTATTTCGAAAGAAAATAATTTTTAAGTGATGAATAGTGCCAGACTTTAGAGCAAGCATTCAGTTGTGCAGAGCAAAAGGTAAAAATAAAATAAGGTAAATAAGTGCACTGAGGCCAAGTTTTATGCTATGAAGAGGACAAAGTGGTGAGGCGGTTTCTAATCTCCTTGGGGTACGAAGCTGGGGAGGGTTCTGTAAAAAGGGCAGGCATAGTTTTAGTGGAATTGATGGGTGTCTCCTGAACAAATATTGGTCTTCTGGGTGCTCAGATTATGATAACAATTATTCACTATTATTTTGGTGGGGCTAGGATGAGGGTTCACTTTTAGAAGCTCTACCATTGTTTAAAAAGTCTTTTAGTTGTTGTTTTGAGACAGGGTTTCTCTATAGCCCCAGCTGGCCTGGAACTCACTTTGTAGACTAGACTGGCCTTGATCTCACAGAGATCTGCCTATCTCTGCCTCCTGACTGAGACTGGGATTAAAGGCATGCATCCTTCTGGTGGGTCTGAGTAGGTATCTTTAAGGCTGGAGTGGGTCAGAGCTACGGCTCAAAGGAAGTTCCAGGACATTCTAGCCCTGGAGAGAGACAGTTGGTAGAGTAGCCCTCTCCATAAAATAAAAAAGACCCATATGTGTGGCTGCACCTGGGAAATACTCAACAGACCAAACCAAACCAAGCACACATGTTTAGCCTCAGTACTGAAAAACCTGAGTTGAGGGGAGGCAGCCCTTGGCCTCAGTGCATTAAGCTGGGAAAGGACCACTGCAGGAACACCCAGGCATGTATCCCTACCTCTGGGGCGATGTAGTCAGGAGTCCCACAGAAAGTATTTGTCTTCGCATCTCCCAGCATGTTCTCCTTGCACATCCCAAAATCCGCTATTTTGATATGTCCATCTCTATCTAACAGGATATTATCTAGCTTCAGGTCCCTGAAAAAAAAAAAGCAGAGAGAAAATCACTTGAATAAACGCAATATTGTTTGATATTGTCCATCTCTATCTAACAGGATATTATCTAGCTTCAGGTCCCTGAAAAAAAAAAGCAGAGAGAAAATCACTTGAATAAACGCAATATTGTTAATAAACTGTCGTGGGGTATGGTCACTTACGTCATCACAGCCTGGGAGGGCTGCTTTAGGGGAAACGGCTGCCACCCTGATTCCCGGCCCATGGACCTGCCTGGTTATTCACAGCCTTGTACTACTTTCTGGTCCCTGCAGTGGGGCTTCCCTTGTAGCCTCTGCTTCCCTGGGCAGCTGGCTTGGGCCCAGTCCTCTCGAACCTTCCATGCCCTGTTGAGTACTCGTCATACCTGTGGGGCTCAATCCCTGGTTCCTACAAGGATGCCTCAGTGGGTGAGTGAGTTTACACATGCCCTGTGTCATTGCCCCAGTGATGCATCTCTTAGTGTTCGGAGGAGCTTTCAGGAACAATGTCTGGGTGAGGGCAATGAAATGGCCTCTTGGGTTGGAGGCCAATGTTTGATGTCTAACACGATGCAGTGTGGACACAGATCCCCTCTCACACGCAATGGGGACCGAACCGAGCTGCTTCTGTGGGGGCAGGATTGTGGTTGTTGCTTTCCCTTCCTGATTTGCTGTGGAGCGCAGCTCAGTATAAGAGAGAGAACCAGCCAGGCTTTACCCCAGTATCTTTTGCTGTGAGAGAGGGAGGGCCTGAGACATGCCGTTTTTAAATGACAGGTATGTGTGCTTCCTTGTAAATCAATTATATCACACTGAATTCCAAGTCCAGTTTAGGAAGGATACCTTATCAAAAACCAGACTCCCCAAATACTGGATTGCCATGTCAATAAAAACCTCTTAGAAAACCCATTCCATGCTTAAATGTAAGCTGCTAAAATCAATGAGCCTTATTGTTTCCCTTAAAATCTTACCCTTTGTTCTAATATTATTACATGTGATGCCCCAGATAGTTGGGAGGTTGCCTTGAGTTTTCTCTTGTCTTTCCCTTACCACGTTCAGGACACACAACATGGTTTTCAGACCCTTCAATGTTCCATCCCTTTCTCTTCAAATATCTCATTTGCCAATTTTCTTCTTGAGAACTGGTATCTAGAATGGCAATGTCTTCTGGACCAATGGTCCCCAAGGGCTGCTGCAGATTCAGCAGCACTTAAACACCTGTTAGGACACCCTGAACTTTGTGGGATCCACTTTCTTTAAGGAGAGTAAACACCTGCTACACGGCTCCCAGTGCTCTGTGGGGGTTAGTTAGGGTGACCTGAAGGAGGAGGAACAATCTTTGTTCTTACCCCTTCCTCAACCTGCCCTTGAGGGAGGACAGGTTCCCTTCTCCAAGACTGTCCCCATCTATCTCCATAGGCCAGCTCTACTGGTTCATGTATTTTCTCTTTGGGGATATTGGCATTGGGATATGGGGCACTGATCTGTCTTGGTTTATGGAACTTGCTCTAGGCATGTTCTTGGGGAAAGAGAAGACTCGATTTCAAAAGAGAAAAATGCAGTGGTTAGACCAAGAAACCCAAAAAGAAACACAGGCGACTGACAAGAAGTCGTCCTGTTTCACATTCTCTGTTCTAGTTCTTAAGGAGGCCCAGCTCTGTTTTAAGCAAAAGTTCAAATGGTTTTGTGTTACTTCTCATTAATATTCATATTCTCCTGACGCTCCCATCACTGGTTGTTTTGTCTGTCTCTTTCGCTGAAGGATGGAAATCATACACCGAAGGTTATTCATTGTACTGTGGTGGCTCTGATGACAATACAGCATGCCTTGTGAGCTCCACAATATTTGTGGAATGAGTTAAAACCAGCCAATGGTTATCACTTTTGATGCACACCTGAGTAACTGTTCCACTAAATGTTAGCTCCACTTTCTGTGAGAATAAGTGGATTAGAGAAATCGAGGCTGGCACTCAGCTGTGGTGCAGCACACACCTGGTGTTGGGGGCTTCAGTCCGGACTAGTTTAGTAACCTCCATTACTCATGCATCACCAACAGCGTCTGTGTACCTGCTTAGTCTGAGGTGTACCCCATATGCATGACAGTTTCTGTTTCTGTTCCTATCCCACACGCTGCCACACTTTTATGGTTAAGACCACAGATGCCCAGTATATCGAAGTCTCACTAGAGACTTCTAGTTTTCTGCCTCCTGATCCTTCACTGGAGCTAAATAACGCAGTTCCATTGAAACTTGCTAATTTTATACTAGTTAAATCCAATTACAGGCGCTATTTAAATTCTTATAACATTTCAGGTTTATTATCTAATTTGATGCTATGCAAAATTGGCATAATTTTGAATTTATCATTTACAGATATGGCTATATATTTCTAGGAATTTGACTAATGGATGGTTATGGGGTCCTATCTAAGGAGTCAGATCTCTAATGGTGATGCTATAGAGAAGCTCCTTAGAATAATGAACACAGCATTTAATGCTTTCTCTGGGTTCTCTAGCCTCAGATACGTTTCATCATTTGATTCTCACAAGTCTTTGATCTCAAAATTTATTGTTTTTTTTGTGGCACATGTCTATGGTATATGCATACACGTGTGGGTATGTACACATGTGGTGGCCAGAGGATGACACCAGATGTCCTGTTCTATCTCTCTCTGCCGTATTGTCTTGAGACTGGATCTCTCATTGAACCTAGAGCTAGGCTGGCAACCAGCAAGCCCCAGTGATCCTCTTGTCTCCACTCCCCACAATGTTGGGGATTACAGATGCATGCAGTTACAACTGGCTTTTTAGGTGGGTGCTGGGGATTTGATCTCAGGTCTGCATGCTTGCTCAGCAATGCATTTACCCCCCTAAGCCATCTCTTCAGCCCTAACAAACTATTATTAATATTTGTATTCACATTTTTTTCTGACAAAGCAAAAGATTTCTTACAGATGATATGACTTATCCAGACCATATAACCAATTAGTGGCCAGGCAAGCCTAGTCTTTATTGTCCTTACAACCCTTTCTACCAAGATCAACTGGTCTCTTTCAAAAAATTGGTCTCAGGAAAATATACATGATGTAGTCTGACTCTAAAAATAAATGTTTTCTGTGCCTCTGGCTAGGAAAAATAATCTCCATGTCAAATTTCCAATCCACTGTCTACAGCAGGCCAGATGTGTTTGGGATTGTGAGAGAGAAGGTCAAGAAAGTTATGAGAGACCTAAGTTGGAATAAAAAGGTCCAGAAAGGCTTTTTTTGTTTTGAAACTAGACCTTCCTGAAGGTAAGGAATGAAGGCAGATGACCAGCCAAGTTCCCTGGAGCCAATTGGAGCTGTCATAGAACCCAAAAGTCCAGAATGTTCTAAGGCACATCATGCTGCTTATTTCTCACATTTGGCCTTTAGGACATCAGCGCTCAGGAAAGAGCTGCAGAGTCCCAGGCGTGGTTTGTTTCTGTGCACATCTTTACATCAAGTACAATGGAAAATGAAGTGGAGGTCTCCATTCAGCTGTAAGGGAGGCTCTCCATTCAGAAGCAGGAGTCATAACTGGTTTCAGGGCCAACCCGCCCTTGCCCTCACTGAGCCTCCCAGTACTGACTCAGGAAACAAGGTCCACAATGCCTGCTTGGCTTCTCTCTTCGGGAACCTAAGGAGACAGGCCATGTGAAAGCATTTGGAAATGGCTTCAGACACATGGTGGGCTCCGGTTTATTACCGATAGAAGATGGGTATTCTAAGATCTGAGGCTCTAGCTCCTTTCTGTCTTCCGGTCCTTGCTTTTTACATTTTAATCCAAATCAGGGCTTAGAGCATCTTGTTCTTACAGTCCCACTAGAAGGTGGTGAAAGACGACACAGCTGCCTGCTTCTCTCCTTCTCCCTCCTTGGGGCTTGTTGCTGTCTGAACGTGGGCTCTGTGTTTACTGATTTAATTTTCCTCCACACTAGGAAGCGATCAGCTCTAGCATGGAGAGACTCCAGTCCTTCTCCCGTGTCCTCTTCGGACTCATTTCCTCCATCTGAAAATCTTTTAAAAGATCTGCTAGAAGCTGGAAATTTTTTGTTGTTGGAGTTCATTAATTCTGTCAAGATCTTTCCTTCCCTTTTATCTTTTAATTGGGATCATATTCACTTGGGCTTTTTATAGAATGCACTGCTTGTGTCTTTTCATGTAATTATACCACCCCAAAAACCCAGAAAGCAGCTTTATTAGGTATCTTCGGGTTGAGACTTCTATATATTTTGTGCCCATCACAATGCTTAACCAAAGGCAGTACATTTGGTGGCTATTTGTTAGTCCCTGATACTAGTCATAGAGGGGCAAATGGGCATCCCCTATCACTTGTGTGTGTGTATTTATGAGACAGGAATTTACTATGTAGCCCAAGCTGCCCTTGAACTTTTGATCCTCCAGCCTCAGGTTCCTGATTGCTGAGATTACAAGCATGCATTACTATACCTAGCTCTGCATACATATTTTTAAATAATTAAAAAGAATATATGTCCATATCCTAATCTCTAGAATGCTGTGGCTATAACCTCATTTATGAAAAAGGACTTTGATAATGTAATTAAGTTAAAAAGTCTAAGATGAACTAGTTCTAGATTGTGGGGGGTGGGGCTGGGGGGAGAGGTGCACTGAATCTACCATGCAGTCCTCTCAGGGCCCTACAGAGGATAGTCACACAAGGAGAGCAGAAGGATATTAGTTAGATGCATCTACAAACCAATAAATGCCCATAGTCACCCTGGCTGGGCAAGGCAAGGAAGAGTCCTCCTCTAGAGCCTTTCATGAAAGGGTGGCCCTTGCCTGTACTTTGATTTCAGACTTCTGGTTTCCACAACTGTGACAGAATAACGTTTTGCTTTTGATGAGCCACCAAGATGGTAATAAATTTTTAGGAAGCCTTTCAAAATGATGTTTGGGGAGGTTACAGAACATTTAGGATGGGAGCCTTGCTGAAGGAGGTGCATTACTGGGGATGGGTTTTGAGGCTTTATAGCCTTGTCCTACTTTCTGTTTGGGCTCTCTGCTTCCTGTGTGCAGTAGAAATGTGGCCAGCCAGTTCCCACTGCTGCTGCCAGGTCATCCCTGCCATGATGGACTGGAGTCCTCTGAATCAGAGGCCAAAATAAACCCTTGTTTTCTAAGTGGCTTGTGGTCATGGTATTTTATCACATCAGCAGAAAAGTAATTAACACAATGGCCTAGTCTCAATTTCAGTTATTTTAGGATATCTTTCAAGGGGTCACCGCCACCAATTCATGAATACATGAAATGAACCAGGTCTTCTTCCTTGCTCACACATACAAGGATTTAAAAACGTGACTTTCAGGCATGGACCAAGCACAAGCCCTAAAATGAGGATCTGATTTTTATCATATTAAAGCTACTTGTGGACCAACAAGATGACAAGATAGAAGCACTGTGGTCAGGCAGTGGCAGGTCACTGCAGCATGTGGATCTCAGTGTTGTGAGCACTGCGGTCAGGCAGTGGCAGGTCACTGCGGCATGTGGATCTCAGTGTTGTGAGCACTGTGGTCAGGCAGTGGCAGGTCACTGTGGCATGTGGATTTCAGTGTTGTGAGGTCATTTTCAGTTCTGAGACTTCCACTTCTCTTATTCCAAAATCCTTAATTTTTTTCTCTCTTCCACATCCATCTAGCCTATTCACCCACCCATCCATTTATCATATATGGATCCACTTATCAAGACATCTCACTCATTCATCCATTTATCAATCCATCCATCCATCATCCCATGTAATATATGAAATATCTAAGTAGAAATATATTTTAGACATTGCAGGCATTATTAAGAAATTTGAGAAAGATATATGCATCTCATCAAGGTTTTCAAATAATGTTTGGATGATTACGGAGTTTAGACAAGCAGCATATACTCATTTTAGGGTCCTTGCTTCAGCCGATGATAGAGGTCATGATTTTAATTCTTCTATACCAACAAGGAGGAACGCTAGCTGTGTTTAGTGTGCTCATGAGATGGTAGGAGGCCCGTAAAAGGCGTTATCCTTACTCTATTATCCTGTAGATAGCTAGCAAAATAATTATGGGACTGAAGAAATTGCTCAGTGGTCAAGAGTGATTTCTGCTCATCTAGAGGGCCTGAGTTTGGTTCCCAGCACTCATGTTGAGCAGCTCACAACCTCCTGTAACTCTAGGACCAGGGGATCCAGTGCCCTCTTCTGGCCTCCATGGATACGTGTGCTTTCGTGT